TCTTTTAATGCTGAAAATGGTAAGTTTTTTTTTCTAGAAGAAATGCTACTTCTTATTATACAATGTGAGTCTAATTTGCAACTTTTTACCTTTTATGTTGGATATTCTGTTTTATGGTCATTTATTATTGTGTTGCAGCTTTTTTCAGCTCTAAATTTAAAGTATCATTGCATTGTTTTCAGATGTGAAGGAAAATGGAGATACCAATCCGTTGTCCATTGCCGCTACTCGACTAGCAGCTTTAGAACAAGCAATAGAAAGAAGATACTTTAAGCATCCATTCAGAGACGAGTGAGTATTCTGCTAATTGAATTTACTCATGGAAAGTTTCGCATGTCAAATTCAAACGCTATGGTATTACCTATAGATTGGTTATATGGTCGGTTATATGTACAGCCGGTTTTCAAAAGGTTGTCCACCTAGTCAGGCATTCCCAATGTTCCAATTGCCACGTGACTAATGAAAAAAAATATTCACATTCCGTTTTTTCTGTAAAATGGTATAGAATGCCAGATGTGTTTATGTGAGAAATGTCAAAATTTTTTTTAAAACTTCTACACGGACATTAGAGAATGCTCCACGTGCAGAGACTGAATATGTTTCAAGACACGTGACAATTGGAACATTGAAAATGTTTTTTTTTAGTTGGACAACCTTTGAAAGATCGGCTGTATATAATTTGGTTATAATAGGAAGCTTAATGATAATAGTAACAATGGAAATATTGGTAATAATAGGAACTTTTAATGATGAATTGCGGTCATAATATGATAAAATTAGTTTCCCACTAATTTCCCATTACTGGTCTGTTGATGCTTGTCTCTTGCACTGATTCGTGTCATTTATTTCCAGCAAACTACAAATTCCATCAAATATCGGTACGGCTCTTGCTCCAGGAGAAGTCCCTACAGGTACCTCTAAGTAATCCGGTCATGTTATTCCATAAAYATACCCAGCTAAYGACGAAATGTTCAATTTTAGATGCGTCAAATGTCGAAGAGTACCCGACAAAAACACCGGCAGCCAAGCTCAAGTAAGATTCAGTTCATTTGYGKATCAATATTTTAATATAAAACTCCATAAAAAACCCCTCCATATTGCATTCATTTTGCTTCTATCGCATATTTTTTATTATTAGTGAGTTACATTTTATATTTTAGAGTTTTAGAGTTAATATTGTGCAGTTTCATAGTTTTATTGTAAAGTGTACGCAATTTCAGTAATTTTTGCGGCAATGTTTTTTCTAAATGGACCATTTTTTAATCGATCTATATACATATCTACATTAGGTCTAAATTGATTTATCTGTTTCATCAGTATCACACCAGCTCTAAGAACATGGCGTAACGCTGTAGCAGGAGTAACCAATGCATCACAGTTGTCAATGTGTATGACACTCTTTACCAGTTGTATAGCATGGGAAAAATCTATTATGAAAGTAGTAAGTACACCATTGATTCCTTTACTTATTTCGTACATTAATTCGATTTTTTGTCATTTTTTCATGCTATTCTGTCTTTTATACTGCAATAAACAAGCAATCAACCAGTGCAATTGTGTAAAAAGATAAATTTAACACCTGAAACTTTACTCCGACGAAGGATTAACGTCCGAAACGTCAATAAGTTATTTCATCTACTTTTTTACAGTGTTAAATTTATCTTTTTACATAATTGTTTCTATAGAAACACCGACGCAGCTCACACTAGTTAACCGCTAGTTTTCACCAATCAACCAGTGCCCTTGTTGTATTTTATATATTAATTTGCTTCTATTTTCTGCGCTATTAGTTTTGTCAAATGTGTCGTAAAGGGGACAACGAAGAGTTGCTGTTGCTATGCGACGCCTGTGACCGTGGTTATCATACATACTGTTGTACGGTGAGTTACATGTAGTATATTATTGATTATCGATGCCAGTGTGACTAAC